GAGAGAGAGAGAGAGAGAGAGAGAGAGAGAGAGAGAGCCTCTCAGTTTCCTCAGGCAAAGAACGATACCTGAAGGTCGTCCACCAGTTCAGCAACCCATATCCCTAAGTCCCCTGACTCCCCTTCTCCACTGCTGCCTCTGTATGGAAGAATTGCCAGCCTCTCAGTTTCCTCAGGTCCCCACTTGCTTGGTCTTTCTTCATGAGTTATCTCCCCCTCTGCGCAGGTTGCATCGCTGCCGACAACGCATAATGCCACTGAACAACAAGTCAAGGAAACATAGCCGCACTCTCCTTTCACACACATTATGCCAATTACAAGGCCTAGCCCAGCCCAGGCCCCGCTGCCTCCAGGCCCTAATCAGGGCGTTGCCGCCTAAATCATTTTCGGTCAGAGGCACTTTCTTTGCCCGGAAGTTCAGCCAGTGGTTAAGGTAAGTGTAGCCCCTAAGAATATCACTGGGTTGGGATCCGGAAGTGGTGGGTGGTTTAACGAACTGAAAATTCGCCATTTACAACTGACAGGTGTAAGTTTGTTGCGTCTTTGTCAGTGCTTGCCAAACGACAAACCTGAAATGGTGAAACCAACCCTCTTTTTTTTTTCTTTTTTTTTCTTTTTTTGGGACAAATGCTCCAATCTATTCGTGGGGAGCAGCACGTGCTGGAAACTGGGTCCAGCGTCCCATAAGGACATTTACAGCTTCAACAAGGATCCTTTTTTAAGAAAAGTCGAGAGGACCTCCCCCTGCCAGCATTGATTACCCACCCTGGAATCCAGGGGATTAACTGAGCAGGGAACGTCCTTTGATGGTAATGAGAATGAAAGGGACCTAGAATATAGCTGACTTGTTCGCACCTCCTAGGATTAGAGGTGAGAAAGATTATCCTGCAATAACCCATGCAGTATGCCTCGGGGAATGTCTAAGGGCCTCACCAGGTCACACTCAGACCCAGGCCGAAGGGGAAAAAGGACCCCTACGTAGATTCAGGGCCTGAGCGGGCGACAGTTGACCAAAGTCAACTGCCTGATGCCCAACAGTCAGAGTCAAAGTGGACCCAGCCCAGGCCGCCGGTCAGACGCACACACTTGTTTGTATGCAGGTACCAAGACAGCATCAGGACCAAGTGGAAGTCTGCAACTGTACACAATCCAGGCCCTCGGCTGTGAGTCAATCCGTACGACTGTGGGTGGGAGACCTGAGGCGAGAATGCCTCGTCAAACACTACAGAAGGCTTGGTCTCCAGGGGGTCAACATTCAGTCTTGCTCTGCTGCCTGGACGCTGGCTTGACGCTGGGACTGTGGACGACGACGCGGGACTGTGGCAGCATGCTGGTGCCTTCTCTGCTGAGTGCCAGCCTCTGCTGATGTGGCGCATGCCACCTGTCTACATTGCTGATGTGGTGCATGCCACCTGTCTTCATTGCTGATATGGTGCAGGCCACCTGTCTCCATTGCTGACGTGGCACTGGCCACACTGTCTACATGAGGTGATTGGTTGTGACAACGAGGGAGATCGGGATCTGTGGACGATTGAGGAACGGGGTAATCACCTGAGGTTGATGTCGACATTGTGCGCTGCTGATTGTCTTCATTGTCTCCATGGGAGAATAGTGCCACGTCGCACTTCTAGGCGATCAGGACTTGTCAGACTCGTTACTGGGTACTTATTGATGACGTGGAGGCGAGGGGAATCCCGGAGCAGGAGTGGGTGATGTTGGGCTACTCTCTTGGTGGTCATTGATTATCTCTTCCACCCTCTGATTGTCTATTCCCCCTCCACTCTCTTCGTCTATTGGTAATGAGACCTTGTATCAGAGATTACTTAAATTTACTTTCATGGTTGTTGAAGACATTGTTCAGATCTGAATCAACTTGAATTTCGACGTCTGATGTGTATCTTCCAGTCTGGGTTCATTACGATCCTATATCAACAATTCTAACCTCCTAATCCCTTTTTTTTTCCTTTTTTTTTTCACAGGAGCCTGTAAACCAGAACCTAACTCTGATGCAACTCGGTGGCCCAGATCCTCAGCCTCCCTAACATCCTACCTTGTTACCAAGCCTTAACCAGGCCTCGCACCCCCATCTGCCAGGTTACGAGGCAGCGCGACCTGCCTCACAACATACCCCCATCTGCTAGGTCACAGGACAGAGCAACCCGCCCCGGCTCCGACCAGCGTTGTCTGGGTAACAGCCCACGAACGGCCACTGAAACGCCTTCCGCCCCCCAGATCTCTCTACCAGGCCTCATGCCCCCGCCTTGCTCAGGTTACAGGCCAGCGCGACCCAACCCCAGCACTGGCCAGCGTCGTTCTGGCCTCGGTCACTCGCAGGCCACACTGAGAATGGCGCCATCAGCAAAGCCACCGGATGGACCACCAAGCACCACCTCCGCCCTGATTCCGGCTTACCTATGCTGACTCAACTCAACACACCCAACCCCCCTTCAACCCCCTTACCTTACTCCGACAAGACTTATTACAGTAGAGCCACCATCTCTACCGCGGCCATGCCCTGGCTCAATCCTGCCGACTAGCCCCTTCATCAGCAGAACGTGTGATATCCCACCATCTCCGTATCCCTCTCAACCACTTCGCGCTCACCCCCGTCTGTGCGACCCCTACACAACAGGGTACGCGGGGCTCCGAATGTGTTCTCGCCCAACCAGCATAGCTCAATCTCTGGAAGATGCACATTCCGGGCTAACCAGGATAGGTCAAATTTAGAAAAACATGTAGCCCCTGAAACCGACAAGCAAAACAATCCTGCCTCCATCATTGAAAGGAAGAACCTCAACTGATCCAGGGGGAGTTAGTGGCCAGTGGCCGGTACCCGCTGAGATACTCAACGCCAATCGCATCCGCCACCAACTTCCTCCATCCAAATCTCATTCGTCCTCCCAAACTCCGTCCTCGTAGAGAACTCCAGAGGACCTCATCTCAGCAGGGGCCGAGCACCATCATCACCCTGAAATTCCTTGCCCACACAAGAATTCCAGTCTCCGTCCTCAAGGAGGTGAAACAGCACTATCCAACGCCAATCACGCCAGAGTTCGCCCTCAAGTTCCTCAACAGCCGGTACCCATCAGACAGCCTAAACTACCCAACGCCAATCGAATCCGATAAGAGCTCCCCCTAGCCGGTACCCGTCGAGCAGCCCTATTCCATCCGCCCCTCCGTCCTTGCGAAGAATCATTTCATGCCCCTTGCCCCGAAACAAGTCCCCCAAAACTCCACAAGATGCTCCACTCGGCTATCCCATGGAGCCCACGTCAGGTGTGTTTGTGTTCCTATATAACCTGTCTCCAACCATGATCACATGATAGTTACAATTACAAAGTTTGGACCTAAAAATATTACCAGATGTCCGTGTTGGACAATGTAATCGAGTGTTTCTTTCACACACACACACACAAAAAAAAAAGAAGCTATGACCGAGTCTTCATGGGCCTAAAATTAGCCAGGGATTGAGTGCCATACCTGTGGCAGCCATCCCCCACCTATAAATAGGCAGCCACACTATGACTATGGCTATCAGTCCCTCGCTATGCATAGACAGCCATAGCAGTGAGCTATAGTCAAACTTGGACCATGTAACTTGGTTTGAATGTAGCTCACAGGGCTTGGTAAGACTGGGTGGAAATTGACTTTCATGTGCTGCTTGCAAATTCGGACGAGCCTGAACCCGCCGCGAGGATCCGAGCCCTTCAGCAAAACCCCAAAGGCATCCTTCTGCCCGTCCTAAGTGAAGGTGGGCCTTACCGACGCTGAGGTCAGTGGTTGAGCCCAAAGGCAGGCCCCCAAAGCAGTTGCTGGACAGGAGCTTCCAGAAAGGGCCCGCGTGCTCTAAGCTGCCTAGCCCCATCTTCAGACCCCGGCAGTTGAAGATGTTGCCAGCCTGAGATGCTGAGGCCCAGGACCCTTACAGTTTGAGCCCCACGCACATTCTGGATGGGCCCTGGGGCGGAGCTACTGGGACACAGGCGTGCAGCCAGGCCAGGCCCTCGCCGGGAAGACAGCCTGCCCCAGTGTGCAGCACAGTCTGGCTGGGCGCTTGCGACAGCGCTGCTGGAGTGCGGCGCGAGGCGGGGCGCTGGCCAGAAGGGAGAGCGCAGGGTGACAGTGTTGCTGAAGGCAGCACGGTGCAGAGGCCATAGCCGGGCTGGTGGCACCTGTACCCGGCGGGGTATGGCCGTGGTCCTTGGTGGTGCTGGAGAGCCTGTGGGGACAAGTCAGGGGATGAGTGAGAATGAGAGAGCGATGTACCTGGTGACGAGGGGAGGTCTGCCAGGGTGATGTCTTCATGAACATCCGGCAGCTGCTGGAGTGTTCCTGGTTGCACCTGTAGATTGTAGGCTAGTATGGGTCCTGTGAGATTGTAGTCGGGGCGCCGAGCACCATATAGAAGAGTGAGTGACATTGGATATACATTCATGGTGGTCGCAAGATGGGGACTGACATTGTCAATTGAGTTCATTGTTTTGCTCTTATTTGGTGTGTAACTCAGTCCATTCTGCTTTCTGTTCGACACACGATTATCTGGCTTTCAATGTGATGATGCAATTTGGTTTTCTGTCATTCACTCTCCCGAGTCATTTTCCTTGCACCACATGGTGCTTGCAAATTTGGACGACATTCATAGAGCTCACAGGCAACCCTGACCATACTTCGCGAATTTGCAAGCACCATATGGAAAGGTGTGGCCGGGACATTGACCATTAAACCCCCAGTTCTCAAGAGCCCAAGTTCACAAACCAAGCCCCCAATGCCCGCCCAGGCTGAAACCTCACTCCTATCGGGTCACACCGACTTGGATTGATATATGCATTCGGTTGGCACAAACTTTTTTTGTTTTCCGGAACTTTCCCTCCTTTTTTTTTTTTTTTTTGTTAATAAAAGGACCATTTCGCGATTTATGCGTGTCATCCTTGCGCAGGGGCCATGCTAATCTTCTCTGTATCGTTCCAATTTTAACGGATGTCCCGAAGGACAATTTCTGTTTTTCCTTTTAATGCCCCGGTCAGAAAATTCTGGACCATTCCTCAATTTATGCGTGTCATCCTTCTGCAGGGGCCCTGAACACACGCGCGCGCGCGCGCGCGCACGCGCGCGAGAGAGAGAGAGAGAGAGAGAGAGAGAGAGAGAGAGAGAGAGAGAGAGAGAGAGAGAGAGAGATCAGCCATTTCCGAATGGTCATTTCAGGGATGCATATGACCTCCTATTAGTGTCAGATGAATCCACTATATCGCAGTTCTTGGAAACAGCTTTAACATCCTGTATAATGGCTTCCGCTCTCTCTCTCTCTCTATATATATATATATATTGTCACATCACTACAAACTAAAAGAGCGCACTTTGCGGAACAAAGAATAAAAGCAAAAAACGGGCACAGTGATAACATGCAAAAATAAAAA